ACCCCTGCTCTGTGCCAGGTCTGTAAAAGGATCAGTCACAGTTTCATGCCATCAGTCCCTTTCTTGAGCCAACACCACTGGCTTTGTCTTGAAGGGGGACACAGGCCAGCTCTGCCCTGGTGTGGGTGGAAAAACATATGTGGAGGCTGGTTCGGGAGAAGGAGCCAGTACAGGAGTCACCCTGGTGAGCACCAAGAGCTACAGCTGCCCTGCACTTAAACTACAGAGGAGCCCTGGAGCAGCCTGGCCGCAGCCAGAACAACTGCTATGCCCTAATTCATAGCCAGAACCTGAAAACCTTGTGGGGAGAATTTTGTAATCTGCACCTTGGCAGTAAACTGAGGGTTCCAGAGATCTCAGTTCCATCCACCACTTAAACACTTGAAACAGGATTTTCTTAAGTCATTCTTCAGCGTGCATTTATTTTGTATCATCCTGCTGAGTGAACAGAGGGGCATAACCACATGAATTTTACAGCTGTAGGACATCATTGTTAACAGAGAAAAAGACCTTCAAACCTTTTGCTTCAAAGCCACAAACCTTTGGTCCCCATCTTTCAAACAGTTTGTAAATATCTTTGCCATGCTCACGTGTTCTCTGCAGCCATTTTATGGCATCACTGCCAATCTTAATAACGGAGATCTAACAGGCTATACAATGTTGTAAATTATGCCTCAACTCCAAGCAGTAATATTTTCTCTAGCTAAGTGGAAATTTTTAGAAAAACTGCAAGACTGCAGCAGTTAACTGCACAAAGTTAATAGGTTAACTGAGACAGAAACTCACTAACTGATTAACCCAGAACTATAGATGAAGTAATGTCACCACATCACAAGGGTCATTTAAGTCAACAATTGCAATAAAGCAGATTTGCAATTATTGAATGCATGTGATTAACAGATTCAAACAAATGATGCTATTAGTATGTTAATTATTCCTTGCCCTAATGGCAAGGAATGGCCCTAAATACTGGTGATTAAAATGTTTAAGAGAAATCCCAGGACAATTACAAAAAAGAAAAAGAGTAATTAATTATTCAGAGTGCTATTGCCTGCTGAAATATAATAATAACAATAGCAAAAATATATATTAATAATAGGAAGAGTAATAAACATAAAAAGACACTCTTAAGAGTTAGGGACACAAATTTTCCAATGTGAAATAGAGAAATCTACTGCACGGCAAAACCAGGACACTGCATTTTTCTGGAAGTTGTGGCAGTAGTGAGAGACCCAGGCACTGTCTAATTAGTCATTTATGAGCTCAGCTGCTGTGTAGGTGTATTAGAGACGGGTAATATACTGATATCATATTTGATGTCACGTTCCAAATCCATTGATGCAACTGCTTAAAAAAAAAGACCCCACCAAGCTACCAGAAAGCCATGGATGCTAATGAAGGCAGGTGTGCAGGAAGTATGAGTCCTGTGTCTTCCTCTACAGTGTCTCCTGCAGCCACATTTCTCTCTGCATAAAGCAGCATTGCTGTGGCTCTCTCACTGCAGTCCCTCGACCCGTGGCAGGGGCTGCCTGCTCCTCTCAAGGAGGCTCCTGAGAGGTATCAGACATGACCAAGCAAAGCAGGCATGGGGTCACACTGGTGACCTGCCCTGCATGATCACATTGCTCCTGGCCTCACCTGCTGGAGTCACCTGCAGGCCCCTGCTACAGCACAGCTCAAAGATGCACGAGACCAGCCACGGGGTAGGGTTTGGTGAGAACAGAAAGTCCTCTTCTCCTTTTTCAAGCTCCCCAAATCCTCATACATGAGCTTAAATGGTACCGTAATATTTCCCAATAATGTGATGGAGCTTTTTCTGTTAACAACAGCATAAGATATTGAGATAGTAGCATCTATTTTTAGTTCTGCTTATACTCAAGAGCAGTTTCAGGAGTTTGAGTGACAGCTTTATTGCATACATGGTACTGAGTAACCTTGGTAATTTTCTTTTACCTTTTTTTTTCAAGCACCAGTCTGGGATGGTTAGCCATAATGAAATATCAAAATAGACAAGTGGCAATGGTGATGACACTAACTGCTAATCTCTTCTTCACACAGGATTTACCAAAATCTCCTAGAAATTCAAAATAGTTTCCCTGCTTAATGAACTTGCCTCCAAAAAGTTGAAACCTAAGGGTTATTTTTAGAGTATTACACATGAGTACTGAACTAGAAATGCATTGAAGACAAACAAAAAATACCAGCCTCAACTAAACAAAGCAAACCACGATGAAAAAAACATAAAATGTGTTTAGTTACAAAACAAAGAACTTAAAAAGTGGTGTACAATTTTGTTAGTCTGCAGTCAGAACTATTTCAAATTCCTTTCTCACACACTTACATTGTACTTCCTTCTGCCACATGCTTTACAGGGAAACACAAGTCACCAAAGTTACATCACAAAAAAAGGGTTAAGGGCAAGGTGCAAAACCTAAAGTGTCACAGATCTCTCAAGGTCAAGCACAGGAGTCAACATGCAGCTAGATCTCTACTCTCTAAAACATGAACTATATCCTTTTCACTTAACAACCATGACAATCACACTGTATGTTTTTTGGATGGCCAGAAAAAGGAGAAACTACAGCTGTAAAAAGAATGAGACTTAAAATGAATTTGAGATATCTTCACACAAATCTCGTCAGTAAAACAATACCAAACAAAAGTTTGCAATCCATTGTTCACTGCCTTTTTTGGTATTTGGAGAAAACACACCCTAATTCCTAATGTTCCTGCTGAGTTTATTTCTGTTTCTGAGAATTTTTATTAACAGCACGTCACTACCCAAGAAGCAAAATGAAAATGAAGCAATGTCAGTAATATAGACAAAAATGACCACGAAAGGTTAACTCTTGAAAAGTAGTATTTCAAAAGGAAAAATTCCATAATATGTAATGTTGGATAGTAAAAACTGAGACGCCATTCCATTCAATGAGGACATTGGGAGAAAAAAAAAAAAATCTAACCATATCATTCTGCCTCCTTCCTTTTCTTACTGCTAGGAGTCTGCTCAGAGTTGAAAAAGCAGAATTTTAAAAAATTTTAGTTAAACTTACCCTGAAATTAGAGAACATTAACTAAATATGCCTTTCTAAAAAAGAAATCTCAGTTAAAAGCTGTGTTAATTTGAATTTCTTTCAATGTAAATCTAAATCTCCTGCAAAAGCACATCACCAGTAATGAGTTCTTTACATTAATTCTTTACTGTTAATTCTGAACAGAATTAATGAAAAATGCAAATCTTTCTTGAATGTGTGTCCCATAATCATTACCTCTTTGCAGACAATTCCTGGTATGGAAAATGGCCATGGTCATTGACAAAATTCCTTGCTACAGCTTTATCAGTTTCTAACAAGAAGCAGCATTCTATTACATACTATTATTTAGCTATAAATTATAGTTTATCTTCATTCCTGTGTTGGAAGCTGAGCATTTTAACAGCTAGCAACATCAAAATGGAAACAACAGCTACTTCTGACAAAATATGATGGTCATTTCAATGTAACATTTCCTGAGGGAAAAATACACTTTTCTACAAAAGGACACAAATTAAATACTTGCTTGATTTCGTTGCCTTTCCAGGACAAACATTAGATATCATTTTAAAGGAACAGAAAAGCTCTAATGGTGATTCTTGAGTGCAAGCATGTAGATTTTTTTTTTACTGTTGCAGCCAAAATATAAATCACTTTCTGCTGTGGTGTCAGGAAGTGTATTGCACTAAATTCATCATGAGCTACTTTAAAAAAGGAACAAAAAATCCACTGCAAAATTAAACAAATCTCTCTGCACCTGTTTTCCATTTGCATTGTCACCACTTACCTTTAAAGGACGATGGAAGTGAGATGGGAATGTTGCTGAAATGCATTCAACAGACCCTGTGTGTGTGTTGAAGCAGCAACTTCTCTAGTGCTCTCTGTTGTGCCTTCAGCCATTGGAAAAGATAAAGTATCATAACCTGCACACAACATAATCTTTACTCTTTGCCTTTAGGCTCCTAGCACAGGGATATACCATAGCAAAATAAGTGCAGAAGCACACAGACTACAAGCCAACATGTATGTCTTCTTCTAGCATTTCCCAGTCTCAGATGTATTCTGCTGGGTTAGATAAATGTCTTTCTGTCTCATTATAAAAAAAGAGGAAAGCCAATTCATTAGGGAAATTGAGTCACTCTAGAAAGCTTCTCCTAATAAATCAAATAGTTCAGTGAATGTGACCAAGTGGGGAAAGCTGGGAGCACAGAGATCAGGCAGCTTCATCCACAACCATACAACTGTGATTCAGCTTGCTCTTACCTTTTATGTCAGGCAATCAAAAGAACAGACAATTGTATTTACTGAGTGAGGGGTAAATAAACTCGTGCCAATTAAAGAACAAAAAATATGTCTTTGTGGCTTAGACTTTAACCATTTTAAAGATTAAAAATCTTAAATAATTCATTCAGACAAGGATTCTAGATCCTCAGTCTGTCTCTCTTTTCCCCCAGGGCAGGACAGACTATGCATGGAATATTTTGTTAACTCTCCTTTAAAATTCTCAAGCCACAAAACCACAGCATCCAAGAGGCATTAGACATACTTAATATCCTTGCTTTAATAAAGTGATTTTTAAAATGTTTCTGGGAAGCACACTTCTGTGGACCACAAGCAACAGCAATTGAAGTCAGACTCAACTTTACAATTGAGTTTGAAATCAGAGGGAGTTTACAAAAATGTTTTGAAGTCTCTTCCCCCTCTTTCTTCAGTCTCCAAATGTACTTTTTCTCTAGGTTATCATAAGCCTGCCTGCCTTTCTCTGTGTTGGTTGCTCAAGTCTATTTGCTCAGGACCATCTTCTTCTGGTTCTGGACTCAGAAAACCTCCCATAATATAAGCTTGTGTATTAATTCTTAACAAACATATCTCAACATGTGTTCAAGTGCTACTGAAACTGGGCCTACAGCCTGTTTTTTCTCATCACACAGTAACTTAGTACCTCCCTCCACAGCAAGCCACGCTTACCGGTAAAAGGTGGTGTAATCCACTGTTGAATGACAGCTCTGGAACTCCCATGCTTTGAGTTTCTGGCATTCCCGATGAGCTCGGAGCTTCACCCTGACTGTCCCATGACAGAGCTCAGGTACGGGTTTCCTCTGTGGGCGGCTGCAGAACTCATTGGACTCCACACGCCAGGATTCAGCGAAGTCATCCACATCAAACTTAAAATTGCCATCCCCCCCAATCAGGTCATCTCGCTTGTGCCCATTGTAATTGCCACACAAACCACAGAGTTTGCCTTTCAGATGAGGTGCAGCCATGACTTCCACAAAACTGTCTCCATCCCATGAGATTTCCAAGCCTGATAAAAAGATAAGACAAAAATGCACAAAAAAAAACCCCCAAAAAAAACCAGAGAGAGAGAAAGAGAGAGAGGAAGAAATTGAGGATAACAAACTGCAGCTTATGTTTGTGCAACAGTGTTAATGGGAACCTGGACAAAGCCACTGGCTTAGTTCTGATAATGCTGTTAGATTTCTATATAGTTCCCAGTAAGTGCCTCTGGCAACTGAAGTGTTTCTTAAATTATAGCCAGTTACAATACATGCATGCCTATCTCTTCTTATTTTTGTTCCTTCTTGCTAATGAAAGGGGTTATCCTAAAAAATATGGAGCGAAGGCAGGATATCAATATCAAAGGAGGGCTCTTGCACAATTCTGCAAATTGAATTTGCTATGGTAAATTTCTAGCTAATTATGCAGGGGCCCCAGAATTTCAACCATTGTTACCCATTGCACAGGTAGTGGTAATACAAAGATGTCCATGACCCATGAGATTCCAGCCATAACCTGATGGGAAACATTCTACTCTTGCCTACAAAGCTGACACTGGTTGCTTTTTGGGGTGAATACAACTGTTCCAAGACAAGTTACCTTATTTTGCAGGAGTAAAAAGAGTTTAAAAGATTACAACAAAGACATATCAGATACCAAAACTGTTGTAAGAAAGCATTCTGAATTGGATTCAAACTGTTCACTCAAAAGGCATTAATTACCAACTTTTTGTCTGCATAAGTTAGCAAAACTGAGAAACTATGGTAAACATCTAACCTTCATCTAGTGGCTGGGATGTAAGCCCTCTCCTACAATTTGCTTTACAGGAAGGTTTGGCACTTCTGGAACATCAAAATCTGAGTTACTTTTTGTGAGTGACATCCATTTTATCTGCCTGTGCCCACCTAAAAGCTAGGTGTCTAGTTTAAGTCAGCCGTCTGGGCCCTTTGATGGAGTAAAATAGGCAGCTCTGGATCACAACAGTATTGTCTAATGCAGAGGAAATAAACTATTTTCTGAATGTCTTTCTGTTCCCACAGATACTCTAGAGGTGCCAGAGATCATGTGGAGACTAAACTTCTAGTTTTTACCTGAGTGACTGTAAATTAAATGGATTCCATTCTTTGAGGAGTAAATAGGCAGCTCATAAGGTAAAACCATTTTGATATAATTTGGGATAAAAACAACACCAAGAAACATTGCTGCTTAACTTCCACCCAAAAAATGGCCTTTCTTGTAATTACTTCCACTGTCTCCTGAATTCTTCTCCATCACATCTGCAGGAACCCTGCATCTGAAGATCACAAATCATTTTGCTGATATTAAGTTATTCTCATAAAATACCTGTGAGCAGCCATTAGTTAAGGATAAACACAGGATCCTGATTTTCAACAGGATAATCCAGACTTTACCCTATTCCCCCTGTTTAGCCAAGAATACCAAAGAGCATCATTTTGTGGTGCAGGACCAGGGCTTCGCTCCAGCTTTCTTCATTTGCTATGTGGGCTGGCTTAGCACCACCCTTTCCCCTGATAAATCAGTGCTTGTCACTGTGTCATCCAAATCCTGCCCTATCCTCATGCAAGTAATTAACATACCAGTGAATCAGTTCAAAGCTGGAACCCTTTTTTCAGCAACACATCCCATTGTCTCCTATGACAATTCCTACCCATGCTGCAGAGGAACAGGGTGAGGTTCAAGAGCAAATTATGGCTATAGAAGGGTGCGTCCATTTTAACATCCTGCCCCAGTGCTTCTGTAGGTTACACCATGTCTCCAAGAGTTTTGGGAATGATTTACTCATCAAGGCTGTGAAGGTAATTCTGCATTATCTGTCACTGCAGTCTATAACACTGTTTTCTTATCACCATAGCTTAGCAATGGTAGCACAAATGTATCCTGAGTTAACTATGCCTGAAATCAGTTTCAAATTACCTCATAAACCCAGCATGGATTGGGCCACTGTCTCCTCCTCCAAAGGCACTTTACACCCAGCCAACTGAGAAATTGTGCAAGACTACAGCTGTTAATGAGGCCAGCACAGTGGCAAGGGAGAAAGCTGCCTTTTAAGCTGCTTCATACATTATCATTGCTGGACAAATTCAAAATCCAGCTGTCTTTGCTTCTGACAACACTGAACAAAACAAAACACAGCTTGATTTGCAGACACAAGATTAATAATGCCGTGCTGGCACTTAGAAAATACTTCCCATTAACTTATAAACCAAGATTTCTTCAGACTTGAGAATCACATAAACTTTCTCAAAGTTTAAAGCATCAAGATCCAAATTTTCAGACAGTTCTTCTCAGAAAATAACTATAGCTTTAAGGCTGAGTTCAAGTTTTTCCCTCAGAGAAGCTCCCTCAGAAGTTCCCTACTTTAAACAAAGTCAGAAAAGACTGGCTAAGGATTCTATCTTAAGTTTTCTTTTAAGACTATTTCTTTTTCTTAAGACAAAACTTACTGACCTTCAGTGAAAACACATTAATAATGAAAGGTTAACTTGAAAATTTTTCTGAACATTTATGTCCTCCTTCCCTGAGTTAATTTACATGTTACATGTTGCTTCTGTAGACCTACAAAAGAAATGCAGATATGCAGAAGAAAAATAACATGAAATTATGGCTTTTCTTCTCAGAATAAAAATTCACATTTTTAAATCTAGAGATTCCTGCCTTGATTACTGGATTTCATTCAAGAGACTCACTTGTAACTGTCACATGGATGTACTTTCCTCTAGCTGGTATGGCTTAATTACACTTTACTCTGCTGTAATTGCTCAGATGGAAGGGTAATTTCTGGCTTTGATGAAGAGAATAAAGGCTGCTGTCCATAACAGAGCTTATTCCTTTTTGGAGTAACAAGGAAGGGTATTTACCCCTACATGCACGACAATTTTGTTGGAGCCTGATCACAATGTGCAGTGTGTGCCTTTTGTTTGTTCACAAGCAGAAAGTCCAGTTCATTTTTGTAAACCAGTAAAAACTGTGACAGATGGGATTATGCTACAGAGCAGTGTTTGAAATGGTCTCGTTGGCAGGCAGAAACTGTTTGGAAGATTTTCTTGGTGCCTACATCCCCCGCTTTCTTCCCCCCGCCCAAAATGAATGAGTTTCCCATTCACTTGGACAAGAATCAGAAACCAAGAGATGAGAAGCCAAAGGATGCAACATCTGTCCCATCTGGGGATGTGCAAAAAAGGAATACTCTCTGAGTTACTCTTTCATTTTTTCCAATTACTCCCTCTCTTTGAAGGACACTTAACTAACTTGTTACTTGATTTCTTAACTTGGCACATTGTCTACTCTACTCCATTAAAAAAAAATCCTTCTGGATTTATGTATATCACACACTGAGTTCACCATTATAGGACCTCTCATCAATTGTTCTGCATGATTTTTCATGGCATCCTTGAGATTTAAAGGCATCCTCAAGAACTGGCAAACAACTCTTCCCTAAACATTTAATGCCAAAGTAGTACAGAAAAAGTGCAGCAAAATGGCTTGGTGCAAAAGATAGTGCAGAAACAAGAACAACAAAATGCTTATGCAAGAGATGAATAGGTAAGTAACATCAGCCCCGTGTTACTTACCAAAGACTCTTTTGTCTTTCTAGCACACAAATTTGGATAAGGACTCAACACATCCCAAGCACACCCATAGCTGTCAGTGCAGAGTGCAAGGACTGCTGCTGCGTGCCATCCAGGGTTACAGCTGGTGAGGAATTTAGCAACAAAACAGGTTTTCACTGGAAAATGCCAATTCATCAGAACTTAAATGCTTCAGGGAGACATATCGTATTCAATGAACTTCCAACACAGCACCGGCAAGGCTCCAAGCTGGTTTCCTGCCAGCTCGCCTGGTGGGCTGCCTGGAAGCCTGAATGATCAGGGTATGAAACTCCAAGACTGCCCTGCCATGCACACCGCCCTGTAGCCAGGGACCACAAGACTTCCTGAATCTTTGGGCTTGTCTGTTTTATCTAAGGCTCAATTCCCAGCTCTGCAAAAGGAAAACCAAAATCCGTGGGAATGCTGGCTGAGCCGTAAGCACCAGACCCTGCATTTCCCAGCCCAATTTTACTTTGAATTTTACTTCTAGTGCAGCAGTTTTGTTTAGTTTTCATTGCTTCCTCTCTCTCTTTTTTCACCCTACACTGGGAAAGCATATATTTTTGAAAAATCCATGTTTCCTTCTGAAACAGAAATTTCTCCAATTTTTTTCCCTCGGTACTCAGAACTTCCTCTGGAACAAAATGTTTGCCTTTAAACCAGTTCTACTCAGCACATTCTTCCTCTCTACAGCCTCTCTGCTGCTTGCCCTCTCCCAGCAAAATGGAGCCAGGTCATTCTGCTACTTCTCAGGCCTTATGTGCTGAAGAAAGTAGGACTTGGCCCATCATGCTGTATTCAGCAAGAGAAACCTGATCCTGCTCCGTTAAGGAGAGGAATTATTTAGGCTATAATTTGCAGTGATTACACACTGTTTGGTATGTTGTCATATGCCATGTTTGCACTTCCTCTGCCAACACATGGACAAAGATGTGTGTAGTCATTTATTAGGCTTGCACCAGAGACAAATGGAATAGCAGCAGGATTAGCTGCCATTCATCTTCAGTTGAAAACCTTTCCTTGGCCTGTGGTTGGCTAATGAAACCCACATCGCCTGAATTCATGGTGTTCAGCTGGCTGCAAAGAAAAACCCTCAAGATGCTTCTAATTAGAAGTTGTGAATAATGGTCAACTTGTGTGCATTTTACAGACAGCCACAAAAATCTGCATTGCTACTTTGAGGAATGAGCCCAGAGCCGGGATCCCCATTATGCAGGCTCACTTTTCCAGAGGCGATATGAACAGGTGTCTAAATTCTCAGCTCAACAGCGGGTGCTACTATCTCCCCTGAAAAAAAATTTTGCTAGATAATGAGTATGACTATGCGTCACGCCTGTGACCGTATCACTCCATAAGAAAGACTGTTTTCCCTGCTTTCACATGGCATTTAATTGAATTAACAGTAAACAGTATCCTTACTGAAACAGTACTTCACTGTGTAAGAGAAATCTCTCAGGACTACAGAAGTACCTAACACATGCTAATGAGAAAGTTTTAAACTTCCCCTCAGTATTTATCTATGCAAAGATACTATAGTTTCAGAACAGTTTATCAAAACAAAAGTAAGTCCTATGGTTTCACATTTTGACAATTAATGTATTTTCTAAGACTGAAAAGACCTGAGAGAATGCAATTTCCCTTCCCTGTTTCTATAAATAAGGTAGAAATTTTACTTCTAGTGCAGCAGTTTTGCTTATTTTGCATTACTTTCTCCCTCTCTTTTTTCACCCTACACTGGGAAAGCATCTATTTTTTTTTAATCCTTCTGAAACAGAAATTTCTCCAATTTTTTTTCACCCGGTGAAAAAATTCTATAAAGTTTCTCATTTCCTCTTGCTTGTGGTGTTTGTTCCTTGCAGACAGCTTCTTACCTGGGCACATAAGATGGCACTGAACAGTAAATTAGGCCTTGCTTTTTAAACCAGTGCCTCCATTTTGCTGGATAGCCCCAGTGAAATATTTCCATAATTTTACAACTTAAACTCATTCCAGCCATCTATAACTACGAATATATAATTGATCACCTTAACTGCAAGATATGTTGCTGCAACTTTGAAAAACATGAATTTTATGTTTAAGAACTGATATCCTCTCTTTTCTTATCTGTAAGTATCAAACGATATCGGGTATTGAGTTTGTATGGCAAGATTTTGGAAGGAGAGCTACAGGGGTGGCTTCTGTGAGAAGCTGCCAGAAACTTCCCCTATGTCCGATGGAGCCAATTGCAGCTGTCTCCGAGATGGACTAATTCCAGCTGGCTCCAAGATGGGCTCGGCCTTGGCAACAGTGGTAGCACCTCCAGGATAACATATTTCAGAAGGGGGAGAAAAGCCCTGTGCAACTGCAGTCAGAAAGAGGAGGGAGAGTGTAAGATAAACAATTCTTCAGTCAGCAGAGAAGGAGGGAGATGAGGTACTGAAGCAGATATTCCCCTGCAGCCCAGGGTGCAGACCACAGTGAGACAAGGCTGCCCTCCTGCAGCCCATGGAGGTCCATGCTGTAGTAGACATCCACCTGCAGCCCCTGGATAACCCCACACTGGATTAGATGGATAACAGGAGACTATGACCCTGTGGGAAGCCATGAAGAGAGGAGCCCACCCTAGATCATATTTGATAGCAGGACTTGTAATCTCATGGGGAATCCACGTTTCCACAGTGGAGTCTGTTCCTGGAGAGCTGCACCCTGTGGAAGGGACCTGTGTTTTTGAAGTCTGTGAAGAAATGCAACCCATGGGAGTGACTCACATTGGAAAATTTTGCAGAGAACTGTCTCCAGTGGAAGGGACCCCATGCTGGAGCAAAGAATGTGTGAGGAGTCCTCCTGCTGAGGAGGAAGAACTGGTAGATACAATATGTGTGATGGACTGACTGCAAATCCCAGTCCCAATCCCCTGACACCACTCAAGGCAGGAGGAGGTAGAGAGAATCAGGAGTAAAGTTAAACTTGTGAAGAAGGGGATTTGGAGTGTGGAGGCTTTTTGAAGGTTTAACTACATTTCTCAATATCCTATCCTAATATTATTGGCAATAAATTAAAATTATTTCCCCAAACTGAGTCTATTTTTTTCCACAATGGTAATTGCTGAGTGATATCTACCAGTCCTTATCTTGAACCACGACTTTTCCACTATATTTTCTCTTTCCTGTCAAGTGAGGAGGGAAGCAATACAGTGGCTTTGGTGGGCATGTTTGGTTGATGTCCAGCGAGGGTCAACCCACCATACTCTCCATAAGCCACTTTTAAGTTACTGGAAGTGAAAGTCATGGCAAATTTGTCTGTTTGGGCAGCTAATTTTCAGCCACAGAATGAAACACAGCTTAGCAATATCCTTGCAGGCTCAAACTCATAGCTGGGACTTCTGTCTGCTTATGGGCTGCGAGAATTTTGAAAGTGCTGTGGGTTTCTCTGATTTCTAAAGAGTTACAATGATATTTATTACTGCTATCATGTTTTTTTACTGACTACTGTTCATGCTGAACTTCAGAAGTTCTTCAGAGAGAAAGAAGACACACACACATACACAGACACACATGTACTAGTCTTACCTGCTTTGGTTGTCACTTTCAGCAAATAACCATCCAAATCGATGTGAAATTGCGGTGTCTCGCAAGGTAGTGAAATTCGGGTCCCATTCCACTTCACTGTGAGGTGCTGCTGGAGGCTGATTGTGCTTCTGCCCAACACAAGGTCCACTGACTTTGTCCAGGAGAAAGAACGGGTCCGACGGGCATCGTTTTTTACCAGCACCTGAAAGGGTGAGGCAGAGGAGGAGCAGTCTTTCGTCAAAACGTACTGACATGTTCCCTGAAAGTTAAATGTCCGTCCATCAAAAGTGTTGTAGTGAGGATCTCCAAAAACAGTGCAAACTCCAGGCTCTGCAGGTGAGTGAGAAACAAAAGCGCCATATCAATAAAAGTTGGAAAAAAGCAGTTGATAAGAACTTAGAGATACTTCTTCCGCCTAATCTATCTGCTCTACAGGGTAGGTTTTGACTGGTGCACATAGGGATTAAATATATCTTTGAAAAACAAAAGCTGCATTGCTTTAGAAGACTTTCCCAAAGTGGCTGGTAACAAAGGCCAGTTCATCCCTGGGGCAGCATAGGAAGGCTAACCTGTAGCTTTCTCCCTTAAACATAACATACGGTTTAGGTTATTACAATGCTTGTGAACTTTTTCAAATTTCAGTGACTCCCTGAAATTAAAAACCGTCAGATCACTTTAGCAGGAGCTGGGTCAGTTCATATTTTACATATATGCACTTATAAATACTGTACATTTATAAACTAGGTGTGTTTACCTATTTATTTTTTTCCCCAAAATACCTGTAGAACCAGCATCTTTTTTCAGTCTTACAAACTATTGTATATGTTGTTTATATACAACTGACTTGTCATAGTTATTGACATCACACTACCAACTAAGTCAGTAGCACATGACTAACATGATGCAATGACTGCCAAAGAGCATGGTGTCTCTACCAATCAGTTGCATCAATACAAATGGATGAAGATCTCTTATGGATGTTTGAAGCCATACACTGGTCAGAAAACTCACAGCCTGAAGACAGAGCATTTCCATATTCATAGCAATGATGCTGAATTACCCTGTAGCTACCCAGCAACTGATTGAATTGCCTCACAACCAAAGACAGCAGCAAATATATTTGCCTTGCAGCCTTCTGGTGTAACAATAGGTTCTAACCACATTGCTGATATTCCTGGAAGAAGAAGTCTCAAGGCAGAGAAATGCACACTGCTATTGCCAGCTGTATACCCATGGGCTACGGCTGCTTTTGAAAGACGATGTCTGTTTAACTAACAATGGCTTGCTAGAAAAAAAACAGCTTAAAAAAAGCCAATTTCAAATCTACAAAAAAGAGACATGAGTGTTATGGATAAGGGGAAGGGAATTCCTACCATGGAGTGCAATACAATTCTAACTCACAATAAACCTTTCCCAACAGAGTTTTTTCAGCCTAGGCAGAGTGCTATGCTAAAGTAACTGTAAACTTTCTGGTGTTTTTCTAGCTGTAAAGGGCACCCAAGGAAACCTACATGGAGACACAGAAAATGGAGTTGAAGGAGGCCCCAGGAGACATCACCTTTTTTTCTCCAGCTGCAATGAATAATCACCTGTACCTATATTATTACTGACAGGTGTTTATCTAACCTGCCCATAAAGGGCAGTAGTAACAGCAACTCCATTGCCACCTCTGGTAACCTGTTGCAGTTTTGGTCTGTCCCTACTATAACAAATGTCTTCCTAAAGCCTAATCTCACTTTCCCCTTACTGCACGGTGCAGAGCCATCATAGAGCTGGCACCTGGGTGATTTGTACTGTACCCCTAATTGGCCACATGCATGCTTCTTTAGCTATGCTAGCAACTCATCTTGGCATCATTACTCCTCTTTACTGGAGTGTCTGGCAACTAGGGACCAAAAGTTTCAATTTCTCAAGGACATCATACTGACAACTCCATCAGAAATCAAATTATCCATATTTGATCAACATCTCCAGAAAACAGGCCTGACAGACTTTAGGCAGACCCTGAAAACCAAGACTTTTAGCAAAAGAGTGCTTTTAAAAATGTGCACTTCTGTGAGTTTTCTTTTCCCCACTATATCAATGAAGATGTCAATAACTGCTTTCCAGTGTTCATTAAAAGATTAATTGATTCTCCATAAATTGGCAGGAGCCATATGGCTTTTAATTAATAACATCATTTTTACCAATAGGAAAAATAATCTATAGATTTTGTACGGAGACCATCTGACTTTACCCATTACTAAATCATACTAACATGTTTCTGATTTCCTTATGTATACATCTAAGTATCTGCATGACAAGTATTAAGGTACACATTATTACCAGCTCAGATTGTATTTCAAGTATTCCAGCTTTAATTTTTTCTTAAATTTAATGACAACTTTTATGAAAACTTTTATGTTATGAAAACATCAGTGAAGATTCTAGAGGAACGATCTGATTTTTCTCTGTGTTTCTAAAGGTGAAGAATATGGACATGTTGTACATGTTTTTAACCAACCTACTGGGAGGCAGAGGCTGGTTCTTCACCTAGGCAAGTGACTAAGAGGCAAGACATGAGAGGAACAAACATAATTTAGAGATGTGCAAGTAAAATTGATAGTACGAATGGGATCCAAAGGAAATATTTATTTTTAATTTCTAATGTGTTATGCAGAGTAATGTTGTTTTATGTTATGTTACATCGTGTCACGTCATATGTCAATTTGATGCCGTGCAGTTAAAAATGTATTTTGGACTGGACAGCTGAAGGTCTGATCCAAATTTTGCTGTTTTCTTTAATAACCAAGGAAATGGAAGAGGGAAAATCCACCTAAAAACAGTCTGAATAATTGATTCTCTGATATCACTGTGTAAAACATTCTTGAAAGATTTGCTAAAATTGTTGGGTTTAAAAATAAATCCACACCCTGCAAGAGTGTGTGTGATAACTCAGGCACTGCCAGTAAGAAATACTGCTTGGCCTAGAAATAAACCTTAAATACTGGGTGTAACAAGACCGTCAACATGAAAAGAATTCCTGCCATTTTTAGCTTTTGAGTTGTTGTTTATTTCCTTTTGGGAGAGTTTCAATCACATCATATTTTATGGTTTGCTTCTTTTTCTTTTTTCTTTTTCCTTTTCTTTCTTCTTTTTCTTCTTTTAATTTTTCTTCTTTTTCTTCTTTTTTTCTTTTCTTTTTTCTTTTTGAAACAAACCAGTCTTTTTACTTGGTAATTTTTGAAATCTATTGGAAGCACTGATCTCTAGTTAGGATTGTGTGACTTTATTCTCTCTTGAGACATAACAGATGAAAAGGTGCTGCTGCATCACCAAAGTTATGTTCCCCAACCCTGGAGTATGAATTTTGCTAGCTTATGATAACAAGGCATAGGGTCACAGGCGTAGATCTTTCCCTTTTTTCCCTACAGTAAATTGTTCCCAGCTTACTGCCAACACTCCGTATGTCAGCTGTCTAAGGTAGAGCTAGAAAAGGACAATTCTACACAGTATTTCCCCCAAGACTCCCCCAACCTCCAACTACTTTCAGATTAGGGACTTTCTGAGCTAGACATGGTTTCTATTAATTTAGTAACCTTTGAGAGAAATGTCTTCTGTGAGTCTTTCCAGTCCAAAAAATGTTTTTAGCATCTACAACATCCTTGGGCAAAGGAAATGAAGAAACATTGCTTCTTCCTCATTTTGAATGTGGCACTCATGATCTTTGGTGTCTTCTTTTTCTCATCTAGACATGCACATGAATGCAAATTTACCGATTCCCTCTCTATCCTTGAAAAACACTGATTTTTCAAAAGAGGGCCCCAGAGCTATGTTTAGGAGCCTGTGATTTTCAAAACACCTCAGGCACTCAACCCTGATTAAACATTATTGAGACCTGGATGCAAACACCATTAAATCTCTTTTGAAAATCCTGCATGTTGCTCCCAAATCAATATTCTGACATTCATAAAAACTTTTGGGAACTTGGCAGTTTTCACATTTGTTTTTTAAGCAACTAAATACGGACTTCACACTTTCACGTTTGACTAAAATATTAGACTACACGTGTGATTAATACAGTTTGCTCAGCTCCCACCTAAGGCTCTATAGCTCACTTGCCAACTAATAATAGTATTTAGGTGCTGAAAGTGAACACTATAGAACTGTTGGCATGTTTTTCTTGAATTTTCAAATCATGCTCCCAATTCAAATGAAATAGTGACTTTCATTAGAAAAGGCAGTGTTTTTGAAAACACATGTAGCTGTACAAAAAAGGAAGCTAAAAAAGCGTAAGCATGGAAAAGAACACATTAGCATTTCCTAAGCTTCAACATACTCTCATAAAAAAAAAAAATCACAACCTATTTGGCCAATGTGGAGGGATAAAAGTCTGAGAGACCACTCATTTCTAGTAAGTAGTATGCTGAGTACAGGTAAGAACCACTTATTAAACTAAGTGGTTGCCAAAAGGAACCTTTCTGCCTTCCACCCAGTGCCTCCATTCCCCCAGACAGTATTTAGCCTTTTTAGAAAGGCAAAATATATATACTGCATGGTGGAGGCCAGACAGACAGTCAGCACACACATCCTGACCAGCCGAGAGCACGATCATATTGGCTGGGCAATTAGCACACTTGTAGCTCCAGACCAGCCACAGGATATATTGTCTCTAGCTGGCTTTATTATTTGTTGGGATATAAAGGAAATGGAACACAAATCCATAGGAAACCAGGCTCTGTTAGCTCTGGTGCTCATGGAATAGCTTGTTTTGTTTTTTCAGGAGATCAGAGCAGTCAATTGAAGTCCAAGATGTCCAGATGTCTGGTCACACTCTGCTGGGCTTGTAGGTAGTTAAGAGTGGCCAAGAAAAATATACTTTAAATTATAACTAAAATCGGTCTGGACGTTTTCTAAGTAAGGAGAGGAAGGAAAAAACACAAGTTTACCAGTGAACGGTGTTCTGGTTGCAGATCTATAATTCAAAAATATCTCAGCTTTTAAAAAATAAAATGAAACTTTGAATGTAATTAGCCCATATGCTGAATTAAGCCCTAAATCAAACAGAACACATTATTAACCTCTAAAAACTAGCTACAGAACACGCATAATAGAATTTCATTAGGTTTTCTGTAAAAAATGCATAGCCATAGAGGACTTTCCTCATAACTGCTGCATAGTGCAGCTTGATATAATACACATTACAAGGTGTGGTGTCAAAAACTCCACAGGAGTCTTTATGGTCTATTTCATAAATAAAATAGCTATTCCAATTTGTCCAAATACATATTTATACAGTAGACCATCACAGCTGAAATGGGAGGTAAATCATTAACAGTATTCCAGTATGAATAAACAATTGCAGTCTTTTTGTTGCTGTTTTTCTTCATGGAAAGGAAATAACAGAAAAAACAGGGACCTACATGGTCCTTTTGACCCACTTCCTGCTCTTACAGGTACCCACAATGCATAACCTCACTTTGCTTCTTTTCCTTTTTCTTTTCTATTCTTTGAAAGTCAGTACTTTTTTTTCAGTAGTTCTATAAAAACAGATAAAAAGTATGTAGAACCAAGTGAAAGTACCAACCTCTTACTCCCAAGGTGGGTCCAAATGCCCTTGAATTTGGTTTAGGTCTGTTGATCATTTTCTCAATTAAACAAGCTGTGGAATGATTTGTGATGAACGAAATTTTCTGTCCCAAAAGCAGCCTTTACTGCAAGATTAATCATGTGTACTGCACATGTAAACCTAGATGACTGTAACCCACTTTGAAAAAACTTCATCCACAAAATCTCACAATGACTGGTGTAAGATTGTGCTAGGACTATTAAAAATGATTAAAGTGTACTGTAATTTCAGTAAGGCCTGTGAATTCTTCATTGTCAAGAACAAAGATTTTACTTCCACTGCAAGTTCCTATCTATGTCTGAAGTTGAGAGCAGTCTGTTAATGTTATTTGAACTCAGATTTAGTTTTTCTTATTTTTAATATGAAAATGACCTTGGTCTAACATAGGATTACTAATTTATGGAATTGACATCAGTGGTGATTTTTCTAAATCAAGCCCAAAAGAGCACATTTCATTACATTTTTTACAGCAGCATAAACTAAACTGTTGAATTTTCCACTGGTATGACCACTGTGTTTAATTAGTGATAACTGTACGCCAGCCATGGAGCTTAAAAAGCAACATGCCAAAACTAACTATAGTTAACTTCAGCAACAGTAGACAAAAGAGACTCTCCAGCCCTTTAGGAGACAAGGTACTTTTTCTCTTTGCAACAAACTGCTTTGAAAATAATCCTTTGATTATTTTTTTTTAGTTTAAACTGTATCCTTTCACAACGTGACTGGTTTTGACCCACTTCATAGAAATTGGCTGAATTTAAACTGTGCTCATAGCTCCCCCATGTACAGTATGTTCTTGTACCTCCCTATGTTGTTTTTACGTTGGAAAATTAATATCGGCTGGAGCACCAGAAATGCTTGGTGTGTTAGTATATGGAGACAGGATCTGGATCAACATGAGTGAGAGGGTGAGGGAAGGGGCTGTGTGTACATCTTCTCAGAAACTGGCTGAACTAGCAACGTTTCCAATTACTGTCGGATGATAGTCGTGATGAGATTTAAAGTACTCCTGCTGCAAAGGTGGAATTAATTCTTTGCAAATGGCAAATGTTAAAATACCAATGTTAAAACAGCTAGTGGCAGCCACCACTGCTGTATGACACTGGGTATTTAAGCTCCTTGCTCACATTCTCTGTAAAAGCCAAGAATGCCCTGTTAATCATGAAAGTTTGGAATCAGCTCTTCTCCAAGTACTCAATGGGTCCATAGTGAGATAACTGTAAAGAAGAGACCCTTCTGTTTCATGTGCAATGGTCGAGCATGTGACAGTGAGACAGGACAAGCCTCTCAGGCTCAAGCACAGGCAGTGCAATGCAGATAGGACCCTTAACACCCTTTATCCCTTACCATAAGGGAACAAGGTTGTTTATCCTTTGGGGAGATCTAATAGCAGGCTGCCAGTACATAGAAAGAGGTCACTGGGAAGATGGAGCCAGGCTTTTTACAGATCTGCATGGCCAGAGGACAAGCAATAATGATCTGGCCTTACTTTCACATGTTTGTAGTCATGAGAATTCCCTTCTTATATCACAAAGAAGTTTTGCGATTTTAGGTAACCTGGCTCCTAGATAAGTTACTTTAACTTTGAAGAACTACAATTTCCTTATCCCATGAAACAATTATCACATGTCATCACTCTCTGACAGCATTTCTGAAGGAGTCACTGTACTGTCTTCTTTTGAATCTCTTACAGTAGAGGGTCTCCTGTGCTTTGATGGAATGGCTGGCCCCACTCTTTTCCTCCCCTCTCATGTTACAGAAGAATACAGGAAGAACACACAAGACAGGCTAAATGAGACTGAAACAAAAAAAGAGGTGAGATAGAGATTGAAAAATTCATTACACTAATGGTATGTCATATCTGAGCAAAGGTCTATACAAATTTCTTCTCCTTTGAAACTGAGCTGACATGAAATCAACTGCTAGTCAGTTGAATCCTCTTTCACTTCCTTCTCTGCTCAGTATTATTTCAAGTGTTTCTGAGTGTGTTGTCTCTTGTATTTGCTCTCATTTTGATAATGAAGACTTGCAAGCTAGATGTATTTTATCCCAAGATACATGTTTCAAAATAATTGAGCCACAGAGTGAAAAAACAGGTATTTACCATACAGGATTTGTACAATTCAAGAGAACCCAGAACTGAGTTGAACAGCAAAACCATTTGATTTTAGACAAAAGAAGAAGAACATTTTCTCCTTTCAAAAGCCTTCCTATAGGTCATAAAAGCCCATTTTAGCAGTCTGTCCCTATTTGGTAAAATACTTAAATATGTACTGAAGGAAATAGGTAATGGTATCTTGTTAACTTCAGCTCTCCCTGTTGACTTGAATAGAACAAGCTTAAAGATAAGTATTTGTGTAAGTCCTTTGCTGACTAGGAGGGTGAAATTGCAATTTAATGATCATTCCCGAAGAGAGGAGTAAAGGGATAAGAATGTAAGAGTTTAACTAGGCATCATAAAGAAAGAATAGTTTTCTATTCTACTTTCCACTGCTGCCCCAGATTGTGTCTCAGATTTCTGCACACCTTTTTTTAACTCTCACAAATCATCTGCAAAGGTGTGATTATATATGCACATAGCTGGAATGTTAGTTACAGATGTAAAATGTACCCAAGCCCTAAAAGTTATAACTCTATTAATTTTCTTGTTTTATTGCCTACAAATTTCACAGACTAACTATATCTTTCAAAATGCAGTACCTCAGATTTGACAAAAATAGCATCACTTTGAAAAAGAAAAAAAACAAATACCCAGGCATTTTATTTTAAAATTACAGATTTATAGGAGGCAAAAACCATTGCTAAAAATAATTATTTGCCTTTTAATTGCCTCTAAAAAGAAGGCAGAAAAGTAAGCATACTTCTATATATTTATTTTCTCAGAAAGAACAAAAAAGAATTTAAAGAATGTGAAGGAAGGACTTACTTTCAGTGCAAATCGGACAGCATCCTTTTCTGTTCAGGATTTTACCCTAATTGGGAGAAAGACAGGCTGTTTTAATGAGAGAGTTCTTGGAGCAATGACTGTGTCATGTTATAAGACTGCATAAGCCTTTGAAAATAATTCAAGTTGTGTTTGAACTCAGTGCCCTGGTTACAACTTCAAATATCAGGTGCTAAAAACAGACAGAGCTATTCAACAAGCTTCCTGGCGGTCTTATAAGAAACGTAATACTAAAAGGGTTGTCTGTTACCACTTTTCTCTTTAGAGAGTGTGAGAGAATTTTGGACTTGCACAGATAGCTAAAGCAGTCACTGGGTTAACAAGATCAGTATCTTTTCTCCCACCTTCCCAAAAATTATACCTTTCCTATGTATTTCCTGCTTCATGGCAGGGAGGGAGGTAAGGCAGGCAGGCAGGCAGGCAGGCAGGAAGGAAGGAAGGAAGGAAGGAAGGAAGGAAGGAAGGAAGGAAGGAAGTCAATTCTTCTTCTGGTTGTGCCTTATACAAGGCTGACTAGGTGCAGTAGGCATGCCTTTGTGTATGTACATTCATGTTCCTTTTCACTCTTCATCAGTTTAAAAGATGTTTTATCTGATTTTACTTAAATTACCTAAAGTAAATCAGCAAGCAAGCAGAGAAGAGCAGAAAAAGCAAGAAGCGAGCAGAAAAAATTCAGACTGAACAATGTGTTTTTCCAAGCAAAAGCTGGTGTTGGTTATAACAGAGTGTACAGTGATATTGGAGCTCACCCATATTCCCACACAGGGACTGAAGAGGTATATGGAACTGTGCTGCTCCCCAGCATTGACCCTTTGCCCCAACGGCAGCTGAACACAGAGGAAGTCTCCTCTGTGTGACCACTGCTCCTATTCCCACCAAATAGGTGAGCAAGGTGAGGACAGCAAGAGCGAGCAAATGGAGCTGTGCTGTCCTGCCCATTCAACAATATAGAGAACTTGTGAAAACAGACAAAAAATTGGTGACAGGTCTATGCAGAGTGGGGAAGTGGGCACAGGCAGCCCTATTGCTGTCTGCCTTGTTTTCTGCCTACAGTGCTGCCAAGTTTTGACAAAGTGCATAGGGAGGCATGAACTCCAAGTATCTTTTAGCAAACTGGAGTGGAGCATGTTCCATCCTGCTCTTGCTTGATGTACACACATGGCATAAATGAATCCTTGGTCATGAATGCACCTGGGCACATCATCCACAGGGCCCAATTCAGTGCAGCTTGGTTTTGAATATGCAACTTCATGTGAGCAGACTTGAGACACATCTGGACTTAAGAAAAGGGTTGGATCAGAGTTGCACTGGCAGAGTGAGCAGCACTCAAATGTTTGTTTGACTCCCAGGTCCCTGGGCAAAGAGAATAGCTGAGGACCAGGCTGCAACAGGGAGGCCTACCAAGCAGCTGCTAGAACAGAACCCCTTAAAGGTGGAACCCTTAAAACCACACAGAAAAACCACATAGAAATAGCAACACATATTTGTAGGAAGAGAGACATGCAGCTGAATGCCACACACTGCACTACACAGCCTTACCTCTCAGTTTCAATAAAAGAGTTGAAATCACCAGCCGAGCTGGAAGTGGCAAGAATTCAAGTGAAATTGAAATCTCCAAGGCAGCCTGCTGAGGCTGGTTACTTGAGCCACCATGTTGGCCCAAGATCCTGTTTTTGTCTTGTAGAATAAGGAAACCCATTATTGCTAACATGTGCTGCAAGAGTTCGTTAGCATTGAGGGTTCCCTTAGGAGTGGGCTAAGTGATGTGATCCCATTTTTCCCTATGAATATTTATAAGCAGACCACATTTGAGTCTATTTATTTTCAGGGATTTTTCTTCCTTTTTATGGGGTTTTCAATTTTGTGTCTGAGGTTTTCATTTTCTATTTTTTTTAAGGCAAGACTAATTGCTGGGGGAAAGGGGGTTGTTTGGTTGTGCAATAGCAACAGCTGTTGTTTTTTTGTGCCTCATTTGGCACTAGAGTAAAAACAGCAACTTTTTGTTTGCAATAATAACAGATGTGTATAACATTATATGCAGTCTGTTCTAGAGATGGAAGAACGTGTTCTGAATAAATTTTCAGCTCACTTGAAGTTCACGGGTTCAAAATTTACCCAAAGACTCGAACTCTGCAAATGTCTTCACCTGCCGTGCATTTAATTCTATTAACTTTTGCACAGCCTTGGAGCTCAGAAAAGGTTATATGCTGTAAAATTCACCAAGCTGTCCTCTAGCAGTACAAAAAGAGACATGTTCATGACCACTGATCATTACCACAGACTTAAGATGTTTGTGAGGAATGCAAAGGCATAAGGAGAGGGGGCAAGGTGACAAATTATAGGGATGGGTAATCAGAAAGGAGATGGCACAAGGCAAGGAACAGACTAGAGCAGAGCTAGGGCAGATAAATAGCGAATTCAGTAAGTCTAAAGGATCTCTGAAACTCAGCCCTGCCAAATGTTGAGATTGTTCCCTTTCTATAAAGTATTTAAGCATGTGTTTAAGTTTCAGCACACATGGAGGGCCTCATAACTTCAGCAGAACTGGACACATGCTTAATAGCTTTACTGAGTGGGGGCCAGCACCGCACCTTGCAGGCTGGCACTCCAGGTAACTTGAGAGAAGAAATATCTGTGTGGAGTCAGTGGCCAGAAAGTAACAAAAAGAAACTACAAGCCACAAGGCTGACTAGAATGCCAAGGAGCACCAATCTTACTATAAATGTGACTGGAGGGACTAAATTTGAAAAATGTATTGCCTCCGCAGCAGACGAAAAGAATCTAAGAAAGACATTTCCTGCACTTACTGATATGGGATTAAATGCTCCAAAAAGAAAAGAACAAAAGAAACAGAAATTTTTGTCCAGCACTATGAAGAAAACTAAAAAAATGGCAGAAACAGTCTTAAAAGACATGTCAGCCTGCAGCCAATAGATTGAATACTACAAACAATAATTTCTGCAGAATTACCACTTTGAAATCCATACTTTCAAGAAAAAATTATTGGTCAAAATTTATTATGATAAATAAAATAAAATAAAATAAAATAAAATAAAATTCTATAACCAAAAATACCCACAATATCATGCAAAGAATATTAAGACTGCATGGTGAAATGTTTAAGTCAAGGAATAATATTCTAAATTCTTTTTGAATCTTTAATCCTTTCGCACTCAGTTGTCTGTATAGTAATACACGTTTAATGAGATAACTTTATGTTGCCTGACACCTAAGGGACACTAAATCACATTTTATTTCACAGCAGTCTCCAATAGTCAGTGGAGACTGCTTACTGTCAAAAATATTGTGAAGAGAGAAAAGGAGTGGACACATCTACAGTTTGCAGAGACAGCAGCATAACTCTATGCATGACATTCAGACTGTCAGTATCAGAACCACAAATATATCTTTATCTTGACAAATGTGGTGCGTTTAAGTGATTATAGATTTATGACAGAAAGTCTCATCAAAGATAGTGGAGCAGAGATGAAAAGTAAAAGATTTAAATCAATTAGCATACATTATTTGCTTTAAAACTACTTGGTACCTACTTGGAATAGGAAAATAAATCTTACTCTAGAGTTTATATTCTTTCTCCTACTTCTTACAGTTTAGCTTGGAAGAGCAGAAATGTAATCTGTACCTGTGGAGGAGGGTGGGTTTGCTTGCAGCTTGCATTTTAAGGTGGGGACCTGGTTGACTGGTTATATACTGGGGAGAATGGTGCTGCAGGGTAACAAAGCTGGTCTTCCAACCCTAAGGAACCAGACCTTGTTTGTGGACTCACCTCAGAGGTCAAGAGCAGTTTAGGACTTCACATTAGCCTTGGAGCAGGTTCTATTGCAGCATTGAATGAGTTTGTCAGTCTCACTTCCACGCTGCAGCACTGTCAGTGGTGAATTTTTACCCACCACTACTTTCATTTTAGAAGCCACTTCAACTGATCATCTCAATGCTCAAATTTATGTATGGATACAGCTGAAGCGATGCACTTAACTGAAGACCTCTATTAAGTCATATTAGCTACTCGATCTCAGCAGCACCTTAAACATTTTAAATGCATCAGCACAAGGAAAATATAAATGTGATGCAGTGTGTGTGAGACCTGAAGAGCCCAAGCTCTCACTTCCTGCTTATACTGTGAATGGCATTAAGGTAGCAAACTTGACTGCCATGAGCCATATAACATTCCCAGAAGAATAGCTCAATTTTTTCACATTTCCTGATGTGTATGCAGCATCTTGTGTGAGGCCCTTTAAGAGGAGAACTGCCCTCAACACAGTGAGTGCCAGAGTGACAGGAAAAGGATGTTCCCTCTTCTGAGGATCTTTAAGCCCACTGTCACACAACAATGGGAAGTGCCAAGGTGCAGGCTCTTTATTCTACCACCACTTCTGTCAAAATGTTACACATATAAAATTTTACAAACTAAGAGTTTTTAATTTAAAAATTTTATATTTAGGTGTCTGTGATTTCACATTTTCCCCACTGGCTTCCAGGATTGAGAAGGAAACACTGAGAAGGTGTAATGCTAAGAACTTGGCTCTCTCTTCTACAGTTTTGCTCAAAGATCTGCCCCTACATGAGGTGCTATTTAGAGCTCCATCTTGTGAAAGCTTGAGCCATAAGACCAAAATCATTTGCTGGTGTCAGAAATCCAAGAAATGAAGGCTGGTTTTAGCTCAGGATTTCAAGTAAAGCTAATTTCTGATGTCATAAAGTTATAATTACAGCATTCTTTGGGTTCATTTCAGACTTACAAATAAAAAATACCCAGGCCACAACCTTAGTGAAAGCACCATGGTTTGGTTGAACTAATTTTCTTCGATTTGTCTAATTTACATTTTCAACCAAGAATTAAGCCTCATATGCACTGAGAAATGCAAACACAACAACATCCTGTGGCTTGCCTTAACAATATACACACAATTAACACAGTCACCTCATCACTCTATAAAATTATTAAATAAAAGTCAAAAATAACTGTTCCAACAAAGATACCTGGGACAGAGAAGGTTAAAGGAGAAGGACAGGAGGAGCACAGAGTCTCCAGAGCAAGGACAGAGTTAGGAAGATCATATTCAGGATAACAGTAGCACATTTGGGGAATGCCAACCTAAATCAACATTCCAGATGACCCTTCTTTCCAAACAGCACGCCCCACTGTCATGCACACACTTCCAAGAAACACTGGAAAAGATAATGCTGGAGCAGAAAAGACAAGAAAACACAGTTCTTTTTAAAAACTCACATGAGGACAGCTGCTGACTGGAATGCACTGTTTCTTGCGACACTCTGTCTTGCCTTTCACACAAGCACAGATGGTGCAGTTCACAGAGGACCACATCTCTCCATCCTGCAAGAGGGAACATGATATAGTATCAGCTGGGGTGGCAACAAGAAGCTATTTCAGCAATGTATCATTGCACAAGAAAGGATGAATTTCCCTGTTGGCATTGTGTCATTGTTTAGTCTAAATTATTTTGAGGTGTCTGTCCATGGCCAGTTGGATTCAAGACAGAGATCAAATTCAGCCAGGTCTTCTTCTCTTTGGCCTTTTTGGTAAGAAATTAATTTTTCCAAAGCTAACCAAATCACATTTGCATTTTTCAACAGTGCCCTGATTATTTGCATTGTTTTCTCTCCAACAAGCATCTGAGTTGTGATCACACCTACTACAAATTTTCATTTAAGTTCACATAATTAGAAAAACCTGATTCACTGGGTTGAAGGACATCTTTAAGTTATTGCACATGAAAATATTTGATTATGATGTCAGCAGACAGTGAATTTATTCCCATATGTAGTAGCATCATTTCAACATAGGGCAGGAATGGTCAAATAATTCTAATTTAGATTACTACAGCACTTTCACAGATATTTGATCTGCTAAACATCTGAAATATTTAGAAAAGATACAGTGCTGAATCTCTCAAAAGCAGAGCAGGTAAGACAGCCTATGTATAGCTCTGAAAATATGAAGTGCAGAGCATAATATGCCTCGTGGTCTTGTCCCCACTTGGGATGAATTGCTTGTGGAACTGCCCTGGCTCCTTTTTACATGCTGCTGCATCTGCCAAGTGTGGTTCCTGAAACATTCTGTCTCACCCACTTACAGTCTAGTGCTAGTCCACTTAGAGCCAAACTGTGCATGTTTTCTGTTTACAGGGCTGCTGGGAAGGAAGGGTGAGGATAGACCTGACAGGAACAGGCAGTTCAACAAGACAGCTGTGAATAATTATGTGCCCACCTCAACATGATGTTCTGACCAGAAACAGAAACAGACTATATCTGAAATGCCAAGGAGCCTAACTTATTCAGCTCAGCTTGCTTCATCAAAGGCTGTCTCTCTCCTATTTTTTGTTTCTAGGGCATGTTTCTATTGCCTGGTGTTTCTGATGTTCTGCAGTCTCTAATGACCACTCACCAGGCATCTGCCAAGGTACCAGAATACATCACAGCTGACTGCGTGCAGCTGCCCTGAATTTTTGTCTTACAGCTGGTTTTGCACAGGAGTGCAAAAACACGTTTGCTGTACCCATTCTACCTGTGTTAGAACATTGACTTCAAGCGAGCAACACTGAATTTACTTTTTTGCACACAAGAGCAGAAATGGATGTACTGTCTCTGTATTTTTTCACACTCCATATAATATTAGCAATATAATAAAATCTTCACAAGAAGCAGAATATTTTAGTTGGGTGCCTAAGAAGTAGGCATTTGTTCGTGAAGCACAATGGCGCCAGTGTGAAAGTGCCAATCAGATGGAGCATAGTCTCAGAGTACAGTAGGTTCACATGTAATTTCCAGAATAAACACTTCTGCTATGTACACAAAAGATGGAATAAATGGGAAGCAATTCTGGCTGAGCAAACCAAGTATTCACACAGGACTTAACATTTGATCTTATTCAAGGGTCTCTTAATTCACAGATGGCCCATGAGGTGACAGAATCTTTTTCTGACACAGTGTGAAAAAAAGCTGCACCACTTGGAAAAACAAACGGGGTCTCAAGAACAGCAGAAGTGTTCTGCAGGGAACCCCTTGTGATTTGAATACATTGGGTGAGAGTGCAGTAGGTAACAGTTATTACATGGCTACACCAGTATAAAATGTCAGGGGTGCTGTCCTTAGCAGAGATGTGAAACATAGTAAATCAAGTAACTTTCAGCCAAAATGAACTTCACAAAGCTCCTGTTGGCTCAGTTATGGAAAAGACTCTTTGGCTCAGCTGATAAAGCCTACATACCACTCAGAATATCTTCTCTGTGAGTATCAGTGTTTGGGAAAGCAGAGCATTAGTATCTCTGACTAAAAATGCCTCAATTGTCATGAAACAGCAGCTTAAACATCTACATACAGAGGGGGAGACCACATGTAACATTCAAGGAGGAACTAATTTTTAAATGTTGACTATCGGCAACTATCGGAATTTACACAAACTCAGAAAAAAATAAACAAGATGTCAAATTTCGAAAAGTTTTGCCTCTGAGTTGTTCCATCATCGATGAGGATGGTGAGGATTCTGCTAAAAACAAACCACAATACTAATTTACAGCAAACTCTTGCTATTTTGGCTGTTACAATGGCACCTACCCTTGAGCCATCTTACCTGGAAGATCTTATTGCCAAACTTGCACACTTTCACCTCCTCAGGAGAGAGGTATGAGACACACTCCTTGCAGCAGTGGTCTTTGTTTTTATTGCATTCACCAGGAAGTAAGCACCTCTTCTTACATATCACTGTTGAATCCTAGGTACAAGGGTGAAAGGAAATCATAAAATCATCACCAAGATGTTTGTGCTCATGCGTGTCCTTATGTATTTCTGCTTGCTCAGTCTCTGCATCCACCCAAGCTACAGGCCAGCTGCTTTGAATAGGCCAGCTCAAGGAAAATAAATATTATTTTTAGATGTTATTTTTATTTATTTATTTATTTATTTATTTATTTATTTATTTATAGATATTTATTTATATTACAAATATTATTTAAAGGTAATCTTTCATGGTCTGTAAAGCTAAAGCCCAGCTTCTAATTCTGTTGGCCTACAAAATCTCACTGGTGGCTCTTTTATTTTTTTGCCTTGGTAAAAAAGTGTAAGTTGTTGCAGTCATGTTAGGGAACTAAATAAAAAACACTGACCTTCGGCAGAAACATGGTAATTCATCATTTAGAAACTCTTCTTCCATTCTAATGCAGTTTTAAAGAGAACCACATAATCTGAGCAACTTTATTTTGCATCACACAGGGTGAGGCATCATGTCTCAGATGAAGGAGCCAGTAACGTTTTAAACTTTCCCAGCACAACTGCAAGTGCTCTTCAGATTTTTTGAGACCACACAAGATGTCAAAGAACAGTATCAGGCTCACAATTCCACAGCCCTACAAATGACTGCTAAGCCAGACAACCATCAGCAGACAACATCAAAGCACTATGGACTTACCTTGCATGTACACACTGTGCAGTTGTCATACATAAATGAGGAACCATTGTCATACACGTTGCTGTGAAAGAGGCAGCTTCCAAATGGGAGGTCAAACACTTTCCTCTGTCCTGAAAATAAATAAACAGTAACAGAAACAAAATGTTGTTGAAAATATGCCACATTGTCAACAAAAATAGTAGGCCTTATTGTCACCAGACCAAATTTATGTGCAATGTGTCATTTGCTACGTGTTTCCACTTCAGTGTGAAAAAAGTATGTACTTTTAACAGCCACTATTCTTTTAGTATACACTCATCTCTACAAATTCTACTGTGGGATGGAATATGAATTATTTATAGCATGTTTATATAGGAAAAATCTTTCCTATCCTTCTCATCGTAACATCCACAGTGCAATTAAAGGAATAAAAAGTAAGCACTGCAAACTCTTAAGGTGGGTACACTTAAAGTAGTTTAAACAGTCTTTAACTTAAAGCAATAACTTATCAAATAGAGCAGTCTTGACTTCTTTTAGCATATCTATCTCAAGGGTTCACAGCAGCCAAGCTAAATCAACTCAGTGACACTGATCCAAAAAAAATCATAGGTGTTTTCCCATCTCATTAAGATAGATTTTTGTACCATGTGTTCACACAAGGTTGCAAGAAATACAGGAATTTGCATTGTTTATGAATGGAATGAAGGCAACATAAGATATTTAGTTTCCATAATCTGCAAACTATTTGGGTTCAATGGGAGTGAGGCAAGGGTTTGGGGCACTAAACAGGGAAGGCAGCACCAAAATCAAATCCTTCCTGAAGTCGTGTAATCCTGCAAGCACTTTCAGATCCAAGTTACAACAGTTTTTATTCCTGTAAGCTTCTCTTAGTCCTCAGCTTCTTTCCCAGTAAGTTATTTTTAAAAAGAGAGCATTATAGTACATACACATGAGCTTTTCACAAAAACACTATACTTACCTTTCTAATTTTGAATTGCCCTGTTTACTTTTGGAGGCAGCCAACTAATAAGTTCTTTATGAGTGGTTGTCGCTCTCTTACCTTATAATTTCTGAGGTCTAATGTTTAATAGGCATCAAATCCAAAGCAGGGAATGCCCACTCTAAGTACATACTAGAAGTACTAAGTACTTGGCCAATATTTTAGCTTTCAAACCTTCAGGGCTTGGCACACTGTAATTCCTTCCTTTTTCAATAATTCTTGATTAATGTAGAGCATCTTAAAAAAAAGTTCCATTTTCCTCTCAAATATAGGTGGATAAAAGGATAAGCACACAGCAAACTCCATTGGATTTGCCTTCAGTTTTTACAAATTAAATGTTAAACAAAAGTTATTAAATAATTGCTTTTCTTCAGTTAGACACAATTTGAACATCACTCTCATGCAAATTAGCTACTTGGAATGAATCTGTGCTTGCACAGCCAGCCTTCCTTTCACTTCCTTTCACTGTGAAAGGTGTCTTTCTCAAGAGGTTTAATTTCTCTTGCAGAACTGACATAAGGAATCAGTTGAGGATGCTCAGTAGCCCTGAAAGAAACTGCTCTACATCCATGCACTACTTAGGGGCAAAGCCATGCCATAGTCCTGCCTCTTACAACACTTCTGCTGCTCTCTGGGGGGCCAGGACTTCAATTGCAGAGCTTGTGTCAGCAAGTGAACAAAAGTCCAGTTCTCTCCCACACCCTATTGCCATGACTTGCAAACCACTCAGCACAGTTCTGGGTGGCCAACCCAGTTCAAATAGTTGGTTAAAAACCACTGTCAAAGGAGGCATCACTTTAAAAGATGTGGTGATGAAGATATTGGCTTAACGGTTGTCTTTTCTGGCTCATAACCACTAGTTAAACTAATAATTCAAGTCTCAGTAGAGTCCACAACATTCTTCTAAGCTATGTATGCTGAATATCAGGAATTCAATTGCAGGGAGGTCCTCCACATGATACTTTAAAAACCATGCCTCAGCATCTCTGGAAACTTTTCTCTTTCCCAACTACCATGGAGTGTGTTACTCATCTCTTGGCTTTACATCCCCACCAAAACTTTTAACACTTTCCTGTAAATAGACATAATCTATTCCCAGGTATATGAAATGCTTTAGAATAAAAACCATGTAAAAATAAATTCATTATTATTACTGAATTTGTTTCTAATCTGAGGCAAAAAAGAAACTGTAAAAAGATCCCCTTGAAGGACTCAAAAATTAAAGCTGCAGTTTGAATGCCTAGTTCAAGAAGGGGAAAGTTCAGTCAGGAAAAGCATGGGAAGGAGAGGACAAGGGGAGTTTTCAGAAGGAAAGGAAAAATGTCTTCAGCCAAAACAGAAGCTCAGCGTTTGGACTGTTCTCTCCAGTTCATTCCTCTACTGCATTACTCTCTGGTACTGTGGTTGAATGTTCCAGGCAGACCTTTATTTCTCTGTAGCGCTTCTCAATTAGCAAATAAACAAACTCAGGTTTGTTTCAATCAGTCAAAAATCTTAAGTATTATCAGAACCCATAACTCTATATAGCTCTGCTGGCTCCAAGGCCAGATATTTCTATATCCTTAACCTAGATCTGTTAAGAGATTTCAGATAAAAATATAGTCAAAACTACAAAAAGTTTCCATTGAAGAACTGGGAGTAATTGGCTCTGAAATTTTTCCAAACCTAGTTATAACCCCATAGACCAAATTAAAGTCAATTTAATTGGTAGGATGTAAGCGCTCCTTGTTTATTAAATAGATGGAATATTAATGTGCGGGATCTGTGGACAAAGTAAGAACAAAATAAGGCAGTGCCTTTTTCTGTCACTGCCTTGCTTGTCATGACCCGGAAGAACTAGCCCTTCTTAGAGGCCTGTGACTCACACCTTTAAAATGTGTTGGAAAGATGTAATTGAAAATATTCCTGGATGACAGTGTGATTCCACTTGTAGAAGGCAATAATGAGATGGGACTCCTGGATCCGTGGCCTCTCTGACAACAGTTTCTAAAAATGCAGAAGTTCAGAAGTTTCCTCTGACCTGGATTTCCTCAAAACTAAGAATGCAAATGCTCACTTAAGTAATTATATGAGATGATGAGGCCTTTTTCTTGTGGAAAACTCCAAAGAAGTGGAGTGGCATTTCCTCCCACCTCAACCTCCTTTGTAAAATATATAATGAAGCTGAAAATCATCTCTGTATTTGTTCTTCTAAGCAAGGCAACTGGTCTATGTTCAAATGCTCTTCTACAGCTGCTTGCTTAGTACCACCCACCACAACCCTAACACTGACCCTGAGTGCCTGTTCAAAATCTGTGGATTATAAACTCTGAGCAACAGAGTCTTTTTCAACTTCTGCAATTTACCAGCCTTGCAAAATACTGGTCTAAAAGATGTTATGCACAAACATATTGTATTAATTACAAAATTCCTAGGGGAAAAAAACACTCACCTAAGCATTTGGGGCAACACTGTCCAGCAGGAATGTGACTGAGGTGCTGGGGACATGAAAGAATGGGGCAGACTTCTTGGATACACTGTGTCCTGCCACCCTGAAGGAAAATAGGCTCCATTAGGAAAAAAAATTAAAGCAAAATATCAAGTAAATGTGCACATGCGCACACACACACACATATGCAGGCAACAAGGTCTTGAAAGGTCTTACCACCGAAGCCATATTTGCCAACAGAAATTTCTGCTTGCATAAGGCATACAGGACACGTAAACTGTCCTTCAAGACTTTCTATATTGCTTGTAGAGACCTTGGATTATCCATATTTTTTTCAATCTCTCAAACAACAAATGCAAGAATTGAAGAAACAGTGTCTTTCTATATTATTTCTTGGTGTGGACATGATAAAACCAGGCAAAATAAAATCATTATCCATGAACACTTCTGGAAGTTCCAAAAAGTTATTAAGCAATTTTTTATATTACTCTTCATCTCCTGTGTTGTGCCCTTCTAGGCTTGTCTGGGACAGGGATTAAGTGCTGAAGCAAGATGAGAGCAGGTGTTCTTCCACTATGTCTGTGACCTCAGAAGCCAAAATCACTTAAGAAAGCACATTCTTGTAAGCCTCCAAGGCCAACTATGCAAAGCCAGAAGGTCTGCTTTGTTCAGAGGACTGAAAACCAAGTGGGTGTATAAAATTTTGGGAAGGAATGAGAGGAAAAAAAAGAAAATAAAAAGAAAGCAAACTAGACTGGATATATCCTGGTGTATCGATGAATACCAGAAACAGAGGCAAAGACAAAAGCACAGAAAATATATTGAAGACTGAGTCAGTTAAAAGAGATCGTATTTCTCATTCTGCTCTGTTGCCAGATTACTTCATTGTGACTTCAGAACACTGTGTTTAGCTCTAGACCCTCTACCAACTCGTGCTCCAAATGCTTATGAGAGGTTCCAGGTCGCCAAACTCTAAAAATCAGTCCACCTTTTTCTCAGCAAGGAAAGTCAGATTTTTTCATCTAGCTGTCTTGCCTTATTTATCACTCAGAGCTGCAGGCTCATCCCAGCAATAAGCTTTGCATTCCTGATGCTGTGATTGAAGGCTTATGAACAGTATCCTCCAAGATACATGCTGAATGGCTCTCGGAGCTCCCTGGGGAGAGATGGAAAAAGCCATTCATTTTGAAGAGCTCTGTGCCTGAAATGATGGCATACCACTCCACTCCTAATGGCCTCTGTGAATCATGTAAAAGCTTTTACATATAGGCAGACCCACTGTTGCACAGAAAATAACATACTGACTGTACCCCCATTCTATAATAAGTTTTCAGGCACTGAAGTCTACCTGTCCCATGGGGCTACCAAAGCATCCTGAGTGCACATGGCTGAGGACTGCTCATAATTCTTTCACTGCAGCATGCAGTGAACACAGAGCTTATTGTAGACTGAAACAACTGCTCTAAATTAAGGGTCAGACCAGAAACTTGACAAAACTAAATTAATTCTTTAGTGATGTTCCTTAGTATGCTTAGGGAATAGCTCTGTGAGAAGAGACACAGGTGCAGAATGAAGGCAAAAAACAAAGAAGGGCTCTCTGAAGTAGTGCTGTGATTCACCCCAGGGAAAAAGGCTGCAAGAAGCCAAAGTTCAAACTTCGGTGACAATTCAGCAAAAGGGAAAGCAGGGCATGGATGTCTCAGCCAGACTGGCGACAGGATCAGGGATATATCCATGGAAGATAATGAGGAAAGGCTGAGGGAACTGGGACTGTTCACCCCAGAGAAGAGAAGGATTCAAGGTGACCTAATTGCAGCCTTCAAGTACCAGAAGGAACCCTGGAAAACAGATGGAGAGAGACTGTTTTGAAGAGCATTTAGCAACAGGAAAAAGGAAAAGAAGAAACGGCTTTAAACTGAGAGTAGGCTTAGATTGGGTATTAGAAAGAAATTTTTTTTACAGAGAGGGTGGTGAGACACCGGAACAGGTTGCCAGGAGAAGTGGTGGTACTCCATTCCTGAGAGTTCAAGGCCAGATTGGATGGGGCACTGAGCAACCTGGTCTAGTGAAAAGAGTCCCTGCACACAACAGGGGGATAATAGATAATATTTAAGGTTATTAAGGGGGTACCTAGATAATATTTAAGGTCCCTTTCAAACCAAGCTATTCTATGATTCTGTAACAATAAAGCAATACTCCAACACTTGGTGAGCACAGGTCCTTTCTTGCAATCTTGCTACTGCATTTAATACTCACATAAACTGTGGCTCTGCGGAACTGCCATGGAGTTGTGCTTCTCTGATAGATTGAATCAAAGCTCAGGCTTAGCGCACTATTGAGAGCCTTTGTAGCCTCTTGCATATGTATCTTTATAAGCACAAAATGCCGCGGATAATGTAAAATATTTTCTCCCTTCAGCCTTTTGTTTTATAGCTCCTGCCTTACTTTTTGTACTGCCCCCCCTGCACAAAACTAAGACAAGTTCCACCTGTTTCTTCAACTCATTGCTACTCCTGCTTCCAGCTGGAATGATGCCTTTTAACACCAAACTATTTTCTAACTCGCTGCTGTCCCAGATAGGCTCTCTTATGCTAGTGGAAGTTCAAAACCAGTCTAAAACAAATCTACCCATACCCTTTAAAGTAAGAATAATTCCCTGCCTTACCAAACTTAGAGAGATAATTCACTGAGCACTCACTGAATGTTACACACAATATTTCTATTTTCTTAAAAGCCTCAGTCATTGTAATTCAAGACTCACAAAGCATTTAGAATACCTGTTTTCAAAGCAGCTGGCGAAGCCAGTGCTTTAAATTGCATGGAACAGAGCTGGATAGGAAAAAAAATGAGTGCAACAAAAGTTCAACAAAAAGCCCCAAATCAATGGAAAAAATAATTCGGGAGAGGAAGAAGATTGGCTTTGGATGACCTAAGCTAGGATGGGAATTGCACAGTGAACACCTTTCTTCTGCCACTTCTCAATTGAATCTACAGCTTTTAGCTCACATTTCCATGTATGATATCTCCCAGGCAGCCAGAATGCTTCAGGTCAGAAGCAACACCCTCCAGTTGTTCCAGTAAAACCAAATCTGAATTTGGAAGCCAGCACAGACCAATAAAGTACAAGTGACATCTGCTTCCTGTGAGAAATGCTATTCAAGATCTAGGCAAATAATCCTTGAGCAATTGTTAACATGAAACTTGAACCAGAGGAGGCTTCTGCAGTTCAGTCTTCTGGAGGTAACAGATTTTGTAAGAAATTTACTGTCTATGAAGAAAAGATTCACTTTCCACCTTGTAGACAAATATAAACACTATATCTCCTGCTGCCACCTCATATCTGCAAGACAAACCAAAAGGCTCTGAAGCATCAGCTCAGCAGGTGGTATGGACTGAGGTTTCGTCTTGTCTAAGCAGCTTTCTCAAGAGACAGAAGAGAGGGGAAGATGAAACAGCACTTTCTAATGTTCCCATGAGAAGTCCATCTTTCACAAAGACCGATAACAAAACCTTCTTTAAATGAAAGCATGGAGCTGGTCCATCTAGCCATCCATTCACTTCAGCTCAGCTCCTACCTCAGTTATGCTATTTTGCTGTTCAATAATGACACAAGTAACTTAGCAGTGTTGAGAGAGACACCCATCCGGGCTGCGATGGACACACTGGATGGAGGACATAGTGCAGTTTCTGGGTAGGCTACCCACATGCCTGGTGCACAGCACATGTGCAGCCTGTGTACTGGGGCACACAGAGAAAAAAATGTCTGCAGAAAAATATCTGCAGGTTGGGAGTCCGTTGTAATTAATCCCCAGAAGCCTTGGGCTTCATCTAGCATGAGGGCAAGAAAGTGATCACCACCAACAGCTTGTCTTCAGCAGATTTTTTAAAGCACTCATGAAATCCCAGTAGGACAGAATGTCCACACTCCCAATTTGTTTGCTACTGATAATGAGCATGTCTAAAGTTAATAATATTTTACATTCATGATTTTTAAGGTCAGAGGTTAACATCAGTATTATCAGGAAGCAGGTTTCTTGTGGGTATCTCATTTTCTAGTTGACTTTCATGTTTCATCTCTGTGCTTTAGTGAACCTATAAATCATCTAAAAAAGATTCCTCCTTAGTTTTGCCCTTTGTTCACCTTTGCACTTGAAAGACTTCTCATCTTCTAACAGAAGTAAAATTTCCATTGATTTTGCAGAATATTTTGTCTAAGTGCTGACTTGCATTAGGATTCAGTGGATTGTAAACATTTATTTTTAACATTCATTCTAGAAGAAGTGTGAAAGATTTCATTTGCTACCAGTGAGTCTATCCTTACAGGAAAGAAAAAAAAAACAAAAAACAAAACCAAACCTAAAAACCTAACATTTTTCTCAACTCTGGGATACATATTCCAGACATTAAGAGCATGGTCAGACACACACTGTAGACTCAGCAGGGTTATTGTAAGAACTAAGACAGATGTTCAAGGCTGTCTCCAGCTATGAAGAAAGATTTTATGCCACCAGCACGAAAGAAAAAACTTTGAAAGTTCAACAGGGTCACCACTGAGCAAGTCTGCCCCATGCCAGTGGCAAGAGAAGCCAAATAAACACACAACTGTGTGACTGTTTGTCTTCAACTACTCTGCCCCAGTGCAAGTAACTACAGTCACCATGAACATAATAAGAAACATTATCATTTCTGTAACAGCAAAGGCATAAAGGCAATAAATACACATATTCCAGTAAAGAGATGGACATATTATTTGAGATTCCAATAAAAATTAGTATTACCATTGTGGAATTAAAAAAATACTGAGGCACTCCAGGACTTATTTCACTACACCATATTGGCTGATGTGTGTAGGGCTTCCTAGGTGAACTGGATAGCGTGTTGGCTTGCATACACCTGGTGGCCTCCAAGAGCTCTGTCTTACTGTGTGATAATAAAGACTTTGACCACCTCCCAAACGTGTACTAAAAACATAAACCAAGTCAGCAACATGTACTGCGCAAACATCTCCAAAATTCCTCCAGAACCATATACCTGAAAACCCATACCTTGAGTTTACAATCAGATTACACTCTCTGATGTCCTAAGTAAGTAAACCTCAGGTAC